ATCTGTCTTTTGGTTTTGGTCTCAGAGCTTTGGAAAAACACAACCCAGAAATAGCCGTCAGTCTTTCCTCTATGATACTGTGAAAGACAGAAAAGTGCCACATTTGTGACCAGTTCTCCCTGACTCTCCTGGTCCTGCCCTCAGTCCAGAACACTGGGCCTCACCCCGCTCTGATGCTGTTCCCTCCAGTCTGCTGCAGGGGGTGGGTGTGAACACCAACCAGGCGCCCTCCACAGTCACCTCCCACCCACTCCCATGCTGTGTGACAGAGTCAGTGTGGAACAGGGAGAGCGTCACACAGGGATGGCACCACTGGAGACCAGAATGCGCCATGCCCCAGGGTGAGGGAGAGTGATCCTTCTGTAAGAGAAGTGCTCATCTCTAAAGGAAATCCCTCTCTGGCCCCGGAGGAGAAGGATGMACTACATCACCAGGAGCGTTTCAGTGGGAAGGCACCGTGGAGACTCAGAAAAGGACACCCCARACGATGGCACTTCAAGGCTCAGAAAGATCCTCAGAAAGCAGTCTCTCCCTGACCTTCCCTGCCCCGCCTCCAGCTCCCTCCTCCACGTGGTCACAGAAGCCAGAATTCCTGTTCTCTAAGGCAGGTCGTAGAAATCACCACCTTTCTCCAAAGCCAGCCAYCATAAAGCAAAAATACACGACTCCAATCTCCCTTCTTTCTGTCCTGGACATGCCAGGAAGAAAGTGCCTGACTGTATAATTGTCTGATAGGAGACACTGAGACCCCATTCCAGAGGGGTCTGGCCCACACCCGGGAGGAAGGAATGCGCCCAGAGGGGCCAGGAAGGGCCTGGACACCAGCCTTGCCGGGTGCCCCCTTCAGACTCTCTGCAGGGGATCGGTTTCTACATGGCGGGCCACGCTTCTCGGGCCTGTGCGGACAACAGTTTTCCCTGGATCTTCGGGTCTTCCTTTCTGAAGACTCCAGAGCAGGTAAAACCTTGGTGAAATAAATCTGTTGAYCCTTTCTCTTGTTAATCTGCCTTTTATCACAGAGCGTCCGCCGTGATGAGGAGGGACAGGATCTGCCCTCCCTTTGCGTYGACTTCAGTGGGTGGAACCAGCTTCACCCTGTTTTGTACACTTTTCCTGGGCGGCACCCCACCAGGAGCTTTCCCCACACTCTGTTGTTATTTCAGAAAACAYGGAGGTCAAGGTTCCACTTCAGGAAACCCTGCCTCACCCCGGGGCTGGCCTGGAGTAGAGTTCCCCTTGGGTCCCACACTTGTGGGACACAGGGGGATGCCATGGGGCGAGGGGAATCCCTTTCCTGCCCCTCATCAGGWCAGGGCAGACGCCACTGTAACAAAAGACAAGTTATCCGACGGTGGTTTTACACTGAAGACGCCAAGACCCGGGGCGAACCACCCAGGTTTATGCCCAGGCTAGAGGGACCCCCGGGGGGGCCTCGTGAAGATGGGGACTGGAGAGAATGGCGTGAGCTGATGGAAACAGATTGAGACGGCAAGGCCTGCCTGTCCAGGTTCCTCCTCGGGCCTCTGGGCAGCATTCTGTCCTTCTGGGGATGGGGCAGAACCACGTATGGAGCGGGGGTCTTATGACCTGCTCTCAGACTCAGGGGGTGAGAGAAGTTCTTCATGGTCGCCTCTCACCCAGGAAGGCCGCGGAAGGTGAGGATACTGCTTTTAGCCTTCACGGGTTTGGGGAAAGGGGTTCTGGTTTCTAGACCCACTTGAGAAGAGGAACTCGAGTTCCTGTGGCTTCCCCTCTGGGGAAAGAACAGGAGGGCAGCAAAAGGTCAGAGAGGGACTGCTTCTGAGGCCTCTTCCTTGGGCAYGACACTCTGAGCCCCAACAGTCCCATGCGCCCTCTGACGGAAAGCAGAGACCACACCAGGAGGCAGTCCGGGCAACCCAGGAAGGGCTTTGGCACCCCAAACTCAAAAGAATCCTCTAGAAGGTTGAGGCCTTGTTCTGCGGGCTCTGCCCCTGGGCTGAGTCTGTTAGAGAGCCTCCTCCAGAACAGCCACCCGACAGGAAAGCGTGGAAAACTGACCCGATTCTCTGCCTCAGTCCAGCTGCTGGTCATAGGGGAAGTGACCCCCATGTGGCGTCCGTATCCAGAAGGCAGGCCGTGGACGGACTCAGAGGCCTCTGTACCCACCACACCAGGACAAGCTCCGACAGGGAGACCCCTCTCCCCGTCAGAGGTAGCAAYGACAAGGAGTTTTACGTAAAAGGCGAACGGCTCTGTGTCACCCAGGCAGCGACCCCACTTTAATCTGTGATAAGAATAACCGTGGCCAGGGGCAGTCATGGGCCCACACCTGGAATCCCAGGGGCTCAGGAGGCTKCGGCAAGAGGATCACAAGTTCTAACCAGCCTCAGCAACTTAGCAAGACCCTGTCTCAAAACATAAAAGAATTGGGGATGTTGTTATTATAGATATTATAAAAAGTCTCCTATGTTCTTCCTCCTCTTCCTCTCAGTGCTGCTTCTTCCTCTCCGGCTTCTTTTMTCTCTTCCTGTCTTTTCTTCTTCCTTTTCCTTTCCTCTCTTTCCCTCCCTCCCTTCCTTCCTTCTCTCCTTACCTTTGCCTTGACAGGGGTGCTTGGGGGCTTCTGTAGACACAGCTACATCCTATCATTGGTACTGACATTAAAAATATATATATATACTTTCTGCCCCTTCTTGGGTTTTTCCAAAGACTAGGGAGACCTCAAGGAATTCTGGAATCAAAAAAAAAAAAAAAATGTTGAGTTCCTTAATGAACAAACACAGAAAGCTGCCTTCTGAGTCACAGAGACTTAGACATTTAATGAAATTGATTTTGCTTATAAAAATAACAAAAGGTTTTTAYAAATGATTTGGAAACTGCACACCAGTCAAAAACATCAGGTCACGCAGATCCAAGCGRTCACCACCTCTTCCCATTTGGAACATACCCCTCAGGGCGTGGGGGCCAGGTTCCTGTGTGTGCTGAGTTCCCTTCCTTTACAGTGACCTGCTTTTTCAATACCAGTAGGTCGTGCATATTCTTTACATATCATTTAATATCGTTCTGTGTTTCTAAAGCTTGCAGAATAGTTCATTTTAYGAAACACTTATTCCTCTTTCTTGGTGCTCAGGACATACCAAATCAATTTGAGCAGATTGTTCTGAGAAAAGACAGGTACCAGAGTAGCTCTTAAAAACTGTCCTTTTGTTTAAAAAAAATCATATCTATAAAGGAAATCTGTAGTAAAGTGAAGTTAGTATCTCTGAGGATACCAGAATCTGCCTATGCTTGGATTCCTTACATAATTCCTTATATAATCTGGCATCAAATTTGCATAAAACCTGTGCACATCCTCCTGTGTACTTTAAATTATCTCTAGATTTCTTATGTTCCCTAACACAACGTACATGTTACATAAAGAGCTGTGATACCAAATTGCTTAAAGAATAATGACAAGAAAAAAGTCTAGCTAGGCMTGGTGGCGCACACCTGTAATCCCTGTAGTGAGGCTGAGGCAGGAAGATCGTGAGTTTAAAGCCAGACTCATCAGTTTAGCAAGGCCCTGAGTAACTCAGAGAGACCCTCCCTGAAAAAAAACTACAAAAACAGGCTGGAGATGTGGCTCGTGGTTAAGCCTCCCTGGGTTCAATCCCCAGGACCAAAAAATTAAAAAAAAAAAACAAAGTCTATATATGTTTACTGGAAATGCAATTATTTTGTAATATGTTCAGTCTGCAGTGTTGAATCTGCAGATGTGAACCCACAGAGAGAGGGTTTCCCTTTGGGAGATTTGTTACCTGAGAGATTTATCCGCATGATAAAGCCTTTATTCCCCATACCTTTCCTTCCCTCACCCTTCTTAACTTGTCAGGCCTCCACCTTCCCAACCCCTATCCTTCTTTTCTTTCTGGGGCTGAGGATGCTCTATAGGCTCGAGCCACGTGATCCTCTTTCGTCTCTATTTTGTGGAACCCTAGTGCATACGCACATAATTAAGAGGACTTTCCTCCTGTTAATCTGTTTTATGTCACTTTAATCTGCAACCCRAGGGACCTAGAAAGAAGGAGGGAAGCCCTTTACCCCTCCCCTACCTCATTTTGCTGGTCTGCTCTTGCTGGGCCTTGAGGTTACCTCCTAATTAAAACAAGATTTGCAAGAATTGTCCTTGTAGCGAGGCGGCCGCCCACATCCACAGTTCTTTCCTTGGGATGATTTCCCAGACCTGGAGCCTCTGCAGTAACTCAGACATCTGCTGCCGACCCAGCTGGGGAGGGGCTGTGCCTGAGATGTCTTTTCAGCACACTCACAGGCAGGAAATTTAAGGAGGAATTGGGGGCTGCTGCTCCCTCCAGCTAGTCTTCTCTTTCCTCTGATAGCATGTGGCTTTTAAAAAAGGCTCCAGTAAGTTTTCTCTGTTTCAATTCCATAGAGAAAATGATCCGTGGCTCAAGAACCCTACAATCATGCAAGAATGGGGAGGATGAGGAGAACTTTCTGGAAGTGTGTTCCACTCTACAGCTGCCCATGTGCCTGGCAGGCATTGAGCAGATCTTTCAGTATCCTCTAGAATCCTTCTCACCCAAGCAAATGCCCTCCTAAGCCAGGAAGAGCAGGTGGGTAAGCTCTACCCAGAGGCAGCTCCTGAGACCCACACTTCCACAACCACAGAGGTGCTGTGTGACTCAGGGGAAGTGCCTTCCGGCTCCTGTGCTTCAATGACAGTGGACTCATTCAAGGGACATGCAGCCACGGAGCTGCCAGGCTCCAGTCTTGCAGGCTCTGCCAGTTGTTTGACATGGCGAGATCCATTTCTGGCGTGGATGGCCTTCCCCTTTCAGCTGCTCTTTAGATTGCTGGGATAGGTGTCAGGTCTGAGATGTCCTTGAAGCAGGTCGGCCACATGGGGACATGACAGCCCCTTCCCATCTGGGCCCTGAGTCTCCTTGCCTCTGAAGACCTTAAAAGGCTTTCGGGAGCCAGGGACTGGGTTCTTATCTCCTGGGCTGGGCCAGCGCTCTGGATCTGCCTTATTTATAGCATGCTGACAAGTGCCCACACGGTGGGGGCATCCAGCAGAGCAGGCTGCCTCTGTGGCTGCGTCTCTGCTGGCCGGGCAGCAGGGTGGAAGACAGGACTCTGACACTGCAGGTAAGAGCCACAGTTTCCTGTCCCCTTCTCTCCCATGCCATCTTCCCACCCGGTGTCTGCAGCCAGGACTGGACACGGGGCAACGTTGGCATCTCTGCAGAGGGAGTGCCCCATCCCTGGAAGGGAAGGCTTGGGCACTGTGCATGGGCAAATCCCAGCAGAGACCCAGGTAGCACGGGCCGCTGTCTCCCACCACCAGCAAAGCCCTCTCCCCCAGGCTGCAGGGACAGAACAGAATCCACCCTGCCCAGAGTTGCCCAGGTGTCCACCTGGAAATAGACAATGAGAGAGAACCCCGAGTGCATCTTGCCCTCTCTCCATGGGAATCAGTTTTGAACACTGGAAAACTGATTTTTTTTTTTAACGGAAAGGAAAAGGAGAAGAAAAATCATAAAATAAACATCCAAAGCAGGGGGGGRAAAATCACAGTGCAATTGAGATTTTTCTCTTTGACAGTATTTCCGGATGGACTGGGGTGAAAAGGCAAATTACCAATGAGTCTGGTTACGCTGGGAAAGTATGTTTATACAAGATGACTTGTTACAGCTGATGGTTTGAAAGTCCAAAAAGCTGTTGCATGCTTTGAAAAGGAAAAGCATGGATAGTTCACTAATCGAGAGCTGAGCATACACTTAGATGCATAGTACTGAGCAATGCTCTGACCAGTTGCATAAGATCTCACTACTGATAGTGTCATTTGTGACAGGAGGTTCCTGTATGTAAACATACCCCAGACAGCTCGACTCAGCTCAAGGCTAAGGAAAGAAGGAGGGAGGCAGGCAGAGGTGTGTGGAGGGGGGGTGGATTGTCAGGTCAGTTTTTTTCTTTTTTAAATAATTTTGAAGTCTAAATATGATATTAATGTTCCTGGCTGATGATATTTTATCTCATATTTATAGAGATTTGCTGTTGCTGTTTTATGGTTGTTTTCAAGGAATGCTATTTTAAGTTTGTCTCATTGTTAGGCTTTTGACAAGATGTACTGTAATAAGGTCTCTGTAATAAATTTTGCATAGAAGTTTTTAAATAAGGTCTTATTAGAGTACATCTTTTGACAAGATGTACTGTAATAAGATTCTTCCTATTTTACAAAAGTTTTCTTTGTTTTTAAGTGAATGGCCAGATAAACAATTCAAATAATTTTATTTTGGAGGTTTCTTTAATGTTAAGAAAATAATTTTTTTTTTAGTACTGGGGATCAAACTCAGGACCTTGTACATGCTAAGCAAATGCTCTCCCACTGTGCTGTATCCCTGGCCGTGAAAGAATATCATAAAGTCGAATGTCCATGAAAAGTTGCCGATTTTCCCACCCAGGGTGCCCTGACTGCCCACTCACCACCTTGCCTGACTTGAAGCATCTTTTGCACTTGGAAATCTCATCATTCCATTTAGTGTTTCCAGAGCATACTCTTTAGTGCTTCCAGAGCTCTCTGTTGATTCCAGATGCCTGAGTCTGGGCCACATCATATGGCCCTGTATTCCCACAGCATGAAATATAAGTCCCTTCGCCTTTCTACCCATCTCCCAAATATCCAACATTTACAACATATGGTCCAGAGACACTGATTTTAATTTGTCTTCTCCCCACTGGAAAAAGAGATGACATTATATTCATAGTACTTATATTTTTTTCTTACCATACAAATAATATATGTTCTCCTTAGAAATCACACAGAAGTGGAGAGCAGAACATGAAAAGCTATGTGTCGTGTAGTTCTATTAGCCCTGGATAACCTTAGCTTTTTATGGCTTATCTTAACTCTTCTTGATTCTAAGACATCCATGATGGGAAGATCAACCATTACTACAATAGGAGTTTTAAAAGAGAAGAAGTGATACAGAAAGACTTTAATAATTTGTAGGTCTCCCCACATACAAATTAATGTTTGGGGATTAATCTCAAAATCTATCAATCTGTACAACATAGTGAGATTTCTTTTTCTCTTTTAAAAATTATATATATATATATATATATATATATATATATATATATATATATAATCAGGTTATTTAGTAACCTACTTTTTGTCCAATTTATGGTCAACCTACTTTTACAATCTATTCAAAGTCCAGTTCCTTGAAAATTGGTTATCTCCATATGACATGATGACTCCTTTCCCTTAGACAGAATATTAAAGGATTCATAATAGTTACATAAAAAGGAAGTAAAAAAGCATAAATGGAGATTTAGGTAAAACATTTTTATTCTACTATAACAACTTACTTCAATTTCTGATCAGTGTGATGATTTCTACACTATTATCACCCCCTTTGAGTCCCCAAAAAAACCCTCATCTACCTTGTGTCTTGAAAGTGTGACATGCTGATTGTTTTCTTCATTACTATTGCTTTGCCAGAAATTTGTCACTTACTGTGACAAATTATTTTAAAATATGGGTGAAAACCAGAAAGGAACAAACTTAAGTTTTGAGCAGTTTGATCCATAACAGGATATATTTCATAAATATTATAATTTTAAAGTGTCAACTAGGAAATTGAGATTGAACCCAGGGCTTTGCCCGTGCTAAACACATGCTTTCCCATTTAAGTTTTTTAAGTCAGATTTAACTTTGAGGAWGTTTTTACAACGTGAGGCCTCAAATGAATTTAAAAGATACATTTTTTAGATAGAAGGGGAATTAAATTCCATTTTAACATTGAAATTTTGCTATAGTTAAAAAGCAATATGGAACCAAGCACGGTAATATACTCCTGTAATTTCAACAAGTCAGGTGGCAAGAGGATCTCAAGTTCAAGGTCAGCCTGGGCAACATAGGGAGACCCTGTCTGAAAGTGAAAAATAAAAAGGACTGAGGATGTACCTCACGGTTAGAGTTTAAAAAAAATCCMATCCCCAGTATCACAAAATAATAATACTGAAAAGAAACCAAGTTGAAAGAAACCAGCACCAAGCTAGTAACATGTCATAAAATTTTGATGTTTATTAAGGAGAAGTCCTTAATTTGATATTAAGGGGAAAGTGCAAGAACCTTACTTTGATCTTCAAGATGTAAGTGTTCTTTCGGCACCTGGGACCCAGCTAAATGGTATAACTGGGAGTATTCGATAACTGAAGGGGCTGTGGGGACCGGTATTGCTATATGGAAAAACCACCATAGTATTTTCTGCCTGTGCTGAATACCGTCCACATCAATCTAGACTAATTCCAAAATGTCAGTTCATGGTTTAATAGAAAAAGAAGGAGTAGAAAAAGATGATGTCAATTATCTGGTTCCAAGTCATATTATTTGTAAGACAATAAGGTGGGTAAGGAACAGACACAAAGGGTTATATGAACGATCATATTTAAGAATTTGCAAACTAAAACTGTAAAGAATGCAATTTTCTAAATTCAGCCTGTTGTGCAACTTATAACCAGGATGGTGCTAGCTAGTCTGGTGTTATTTTATTATTTGGATACATTTGACAATAAGGAACATAATTATCTCTGATTGCAAAATAGCCATAGTATGGGATTAAAAATCAAATTTTGCATAGAAGTTTTTAAAGAGAAAAAAAAATCTGGCTATGTTTCCCAGGCTGGTCCTGAACTCTCCAGCTCAAGAGATTCTCCTGCCTCAGCCTCCTGAGGATCTAGGACTATACACACATGCCTTCATGCCCAACTGCATAAAATTTTTAATTTTTAAAAATTAGCAACAAAGCATACAATGAAATATTCAAAATATGTTATCTTAGCTTAAAAACTAAAAAAAAACTTAGCTTAAAAACACTGAAATATATAATATTAGTATACGTGAGAGATAAGATTAGAAGTCATTTTGTATTTATCTCTACATTTTAAATAGTTTTCTAAATTTTCTACTCTATAACTGTGAAAGTTTTGAATTGAGACATTCTCTGCAACTAAAAAGCATTCCAGTTATTACCACCAATTATAAAAAATAGTAAATAAGCAACCAGAATGATTAGCTTCTTAAAATAATAGCTCAACTTTATTGAATGATAACTGTACCCAGGATTCAGTATGAATCAATTACTCAGTATTGACTCATTTAATAAATCAGCCCAATAGGTAGGTATTATTGTTATTATTATTCGCTATTATTATTCCTACTTCCAGATCAGGAAAATGAGGTTTCTAATCCYGTGATGCATTCTAAGAGGCGCAACCAAGTTAAAGACATGATCTTTTTCTTCAAGGACTTTGTGATCCAGTTGGCATTAGATTTAAATAGCAAAAGAGCAATTCTAAGGCCTTGTGCCATGGACAGTGGGCTTCACTGTCACTTAGGAGCACTACAGGAACTGAGTGTAAAGGGAGGAAGGACTTGGGATGAAGTTTGCCTAGATGGAGGTATGGCGCCTGCAGGAAGGCTGAGAACTTTACAGGTGGAGAAGAATGCGAACGACATGGAGATGGAATACAGCTCACCCTAAGGTTCTAGGATATAGGCTAAATGTGTGTTTGGAAGAAAGGCAATTACTGAGGGCCAGGGCCGCCTCACTTATTTTTGTTCTCTGTGAGACACTTCTAAAACCCAACATTTTATAGTTGGAAATAGAGATTTCTCTTGAATCCCCAAGGTAAAAGGGGGGGGGGGATCTATGTAAAGTATCTGAATTGGGACTAATCTGAATTCCACAGTGAAAATAAAATGAACACCTGGGGCGGGGAGAGCATTGTACGCATGCGCACACTGGCCACACTCGCCATCCACCTGGCAATTCTGAGAGGCTCGYTGTGATTCCTGGTCTAGGGTCCAGAGGCAGTGTGTCGGGGCAAGCTGGGCCGGAGCCCAGAGGTGCAGTGACAGCACGTGTCCAATCAGAAACTGCTGGAAAAGCAGTGGAGAAAGGACCTCATCTTTAAAATGAGTGCTTGCCTTCCATTGATCTTTCATTTTCCTTTTAAGCTCTCCCTTTAGTTCCAGCACCCGGGAGGGGTGCTCATCTTCTGGGTTAGACGCCTGGTTGCTGGCTCAAGGGACAATAAATAATAATATTTGACGATGATATTTGCATAAGGAGTAGATC